AAGAGTTGGATGAGTCTAATGGTGATTACGAAGGTTTTTTGGAGTGATGGTGACGTTATGTTTCCATCCATTTTCCCCCAGGGACTCCTATTCAATACGACGACCCACATCAAGTGAGGAGGTATTGCTGCCGTGTGTCAAGAGGGTGGCTACAGGAGTCTGTATCATGTCACACAAGCGGGAGAACTGAGTCATAACTGCCAGACAATTTCTGCGACCACATTACCCCTTATATCTGGCCACCTGACTCCCCGTACACACGCATACAAAACTTATCAGACAAATTAAAAAACAACAACACACACACACACAACACACACACACACACACACACACACACACATATATATATATATATATATAGTATATAGAAATTTGTAATCTGGATTTCTTTTTCATATATTACTATCGATTATGAATTCCACATTACCAATTTCACATTTATTTTTTATTATTATTATTTATCTATTCTATTTTAATTTTACTTTTGAAGAAATATGAATATATATATATATTGATACTAAAACATCAACTTTGGTGGTCAGGTCACCTCGTCAGAACTGATGACAGCCGTATTCCAAAGCAATTGTTTTATGATGAGCTGCGAACGGGGGAAGGAAAATGCCATCAAGATGCGCTTTAAGGGCTGCATCAAGGATGCGCTGAAGAAATGCAACATTCCTGATCGCAATAATTGGAATGAGGCTGCTAGTAATGTAAGTCGCCACTTTGAAGATGAGAAAAGGAGGCACGCAAAGCTTAAAAGAAATGTGCGTAAAGGCGTCCCCGTTGAACTTCCCGCTGAAGACCCCCGCAGGCAGCTCGATCTGACGTGCACAGATTGTGGTACAGTGTATTTGTTGATGGCTGGTCTAAGGAGTCACCTGAGAGCGCACCGACAATTGACTATAAAACCGTAGACGTCCAGCAACTGAAATGTGATATTTGTGGAAGATATGCGGGTCCAGAAGCGGGCTTCATGTGACATTTTAAATTGCATGATAATGTCACACCCGCTGTTGGACCTCTTAAGTGACCTGTTTGTGCCACAGTATGTAGGTCCTTTGCTGGGCTAAATAGCCACATTCGTTCAGCACATCAGTAGATACCAAAAAGATATGTAGTAATGGCCGTACTTGGACACGAGTTGGCAACCATATATATATATATATATATATATATATATATATATATATATTAGGTTGTCCCAAAAGTTCGTAAAACTTTTTGAAATTTTACTCGCCAAGTAATAACAAAAACAACAAAAATTATTCCTCAAAATAAAGACCATCATTTTCCAAGACTTTCTGCCATCGATCTGCAAGCTTTCGGATCTGGTGAAAGTACCATTCAGCCGGTTTCGAATCAAAGAATTCTTGACACGCTTCCTCGACTTCATCAAACGAGTCGAATCGGCGGCCCTTCAGAAAGTGTTGCATTGAGCGGAAAAGGCCGTAATCTGATGGAGCACAGTCAGGACTGTAGGCTGGATGTGGCAGAACCTCAACGCCGTCCAGCTCTTCAAACTTGTCTTTGGTCTTCCTGGCGGTGTGTGGCTTGGCATTGTCCTGCTGCATCAAAGCGCGCTTTCGGTTGATCAGAGCCGGGTACTTTTGCTTTTAACTTTTCGTAGACCCGCCCCAGTTGCTGACAGTAAAGTTCGGCATTGATGGAACGACCATTCGGAACCAACTCAAAATGCACGATTCCTTCAAAGTTCCACCAAACGCACAACATGACTTTCTTGCCGAATCGATCTTGTTTTGGAACCGACGGTGTCTCTTGCCCTTTCTGAACCCATCGCTTGTCACGATTGTGCTGGATTGTGTTGCATAAAAATTCAATTTTTCGCAAGTGTTTACGAACTTTTGGGACAACCTAATATATATATATATATATATATATATATTATTATTATTATTATTATTATTATTACTTTAAACGTTATTTTTAGTTGATGCTCGTATCTGAGTAGACGCTCCTTTTTTTTTTATTAAACAGTATATTTATTTCATTTCGTCTACCGTTCTGAATATTCAAGAAATAAAAAAATAAATATACTGGAATATAAATGGAATGCCTACTTAGATACGATTATCCACTAAAAATAACTTTTAATGTGATCAAATCTGTCGGATTAATAAATTAAAATCCATTACTTCTTTAGAAAAATTGCTTTGTTTACCGTTTGCTGAGCTGAAACTGAGCAGATGTGAAAAATTTCGGAAAATCTATGACGAGAGGAATTTCGCTAAAACGCACTAAGTTCACTGGAGTTCTGTCGGTGAGAGCACGTAGGATCTGACGACGCTGCCCACTGTTCAGATGGACGCAGGTTTGGATACTACAGGAGAACGCATATTTTTTCTTTACTAAGAGATTGACGAATATTCAGACCGGTAGATGAATATAAATAGATAAACTGTTTAATAAATAAACGAAGAATCCATCTATATAATAAATGCGAATGTTAGTGTCACACTTTTTCAACTTTACTCTTAAAGACCGTAGCTCAACATATCATACCATTTTGGAATTAGGCCGAATCCGTAAGCAAATTAAAACCATTCCGGGTCGGATCCAGACCTGAAATCCTGAAATTTTGGATTCCCAATTTTTCATTACTGCGATTGTTTTCGGCGATTTTTTACGTGATTTTTATTACTTTGAAATAAATTTGGGAATAATCGAAATTAATTGCGAAATCCAATGAAAGAAAAAATTAATTGTTTGTACGGAAAGTAATACCCTACCCACATCATATTGTCTTTAAATTAAGTGGCGGCAGAAGAATTATCGTTGAACTTTTAAAAGGTAAGCTTAAATATTAATGAAATACTTAAATGCAGAAATCAATTTTTCAGTTCTGTAGTTTATTGTTGCCAATCGCATCTACTCCTCCCTACCTACTGTGATTAAGGCCCAATGAAGAGCCCTCCGCAAAAGCTAGCTTAAATGCCGGCCGACAGACAAAAAAATGGACTGAAAATTGCGCCACTGAGGTTTCTTGGGTCAGAGTCAGCATGGATGCTTTCATCCCTTCTCGGAAATACCAGGTGAAACCACAATCCTTTCGATGATTCACACCAGCATTCTCGGCCACTGTAGCACACACGAACCACTATTTTCGGCTATACCAGCGTGACAGCTCTCATCACAAAAGGCGGCTATTCGTTGCTGCTCGCAATAAATGTAAGCAAGTCCTTGCAGAAGCAAAGTCTCTGTTTGCCGACAGAATGAGGCATCGCATAACCTCTAACAACTTTGGCCCTCGAGATTACTGGCGGCTCTGTAATAGGGCATTAAATCAGTATAAGGTCTCTATTTTTACCTTCTTCAGTCAATATGAAGTGTTATCATACTCTGCTAATAAAGCTAAATGCTTTACTCGTAAATTCTCTTCAAACTCTACACTTGATTCATCTGGAGTATCTCTTCCCAATTAGAACTGATTCTTTGGTGGGTGATATGCATATAACTCCTTCCAAGTTTTCTGCTATCATCCCTAACTTTGATCCCCAAAAAGCATGTCAACTCGATGATTTCCCTTTAATAGTCATTGTGCTCCCGAACTAGCTCATGTTCTCCCTAAACTGTATGATAAATACCTTGTTGCTTTCTGGTTTCCTGTCTGCTAGAAGTCATCGTTTGTTGAGTCATTTTTTAAGAACTGCTGAGCCGTCTGATTCTTCCAACTATCGGTCTATTAGCCTTCTACCTCTTTTTGAGAAACTCCTAGCGGCCCTAATCAATGCTGAATTGGTTCATCATCTCACATCACAAGCTCTTTTCTCAGACAATCAATATGGCTTTCGTTTCTCCAGTTCAACTGCTGATGTACTAACGATATTTGCGAATAGAGTTTATCATGCTTTAGATAAAAAGAATGCCCGGGTTGTTGCATTGGACATCTCGAAAGCCTCTGAAAGGTTTTCTCCACAAGCTGAAAAATTACGGTGCCTCCGGACACTTTTTTGAGCTGATCCAGTCTTTCCTATCAAGTCGTGAAATGAGAGTTATCTTGAACGGCCACTCGTCTAGATCATTTCGGACTAACGTAGGTCTCCCTCCGCGATCCACCCTTAATCCTACCCTATTTTACATTTTCATTAATGACCTTCCTGACAACATCAGCTTTCAATTTTGTATCCACGCTGACAGCACAATATTTTACGCTTGCTTCTATAGTAAGGTTTATCAATCCGACAAGGTCAAAATGGCTGCCTATGTCCAAAAAAAAAAAAATCTCAAGTCCTTAGTTAATTCAGACAAAAGATAGCTTGTTAATTTTAACGCCTCCAAAATTAAATTTCTTTCCATTAATCATCTGAGTGACCCCTTGCTGCCTTCCATCAGTATGTCTGATGCTATCCCCCAGGAAAGTGACTCGTTGCGCCTTCTAGGGCTCACATTCTCTGCTGGTATTAACTGAGGAGACTATATTGAATCCATTGCTAGGTCAGCTGCTAAGAAAGTCGATTCACTATCTCAGGCGAGACCATTTTTCTCTGCAGAATCTATCTTACATATCTGTAAGTCTACCATTCATCCATGCTTAGAATATTGCTGCCACATATGGTCCGCTGCCGATGCTATTTACCTTAAGCTCCTTGATAAGATCCAAAGAAGAATCTACAATATTATTGGTCCGGACCTGGCAGCTTGACTTCAGTCACTTGGCCAGCGACGTAAGGTTGCCTATCTGTGTCTTTTCTATAAATACTTTCTCTTCGTTATGGTACCTAGACTTTTTGAAGATAAGCACAGTACTAGACTGACGTCGAGACCTCATCAATTTACAGTTTAGCTGGCTAGATGTTGCCGAAAATTCTATACTATGCTTTCTTCTCTCGTACTTCTTGATTGTGGAACTCCCTTCCGGCTCCATGCATTTCAGCCAACTTTAACCTTCAAAAACTTAAATGCAATGTCAATCGAATCTACCGTTTGTTTCCGTTCCTAATTCTTATTTCTGCCTTTACTTGCTTTAGTGGCATTACTGCTTGCTTCCGATTAAAAAAAAAAAATAGAAAAATAGATAGATAGATAGATAGATAGATATTGACTTTTTGCTATTTGGAACTAAGTATAGTGTTTAACACTGATACCATTCTATTATCTGCCCTTGTTGAAATTTTACCAATTTCCTTACTTCCGAACTTTTCATTCTTTGAAAGTTATTATCGGTATTTCAAAACCGTCCAATCAATTCACACAAAAATTTTCACACAATGTTGGCAACACTGACCTGCAATCACTGAAATTTGACGCCAGTTTGTTTACATTGTGTTGCATTCAGGTCAGTATTGCCAACATTGTGAAAATTTTGTGTGAATTGATTGGACGGTTTTTGAAATATTAGAAAAATCGATAATAATTCCTCAACTATCGTTCATAGATGAGAGAGGTTGATGCTAACACGGTATTGTCTGACCAAAATTGCTGTAATCCATGCTGTAGAAATCAACACTGCATTGTAAATTTCAGTTTCACATCTCAAGCGATCTTCATATGCCTTGTGTGATTACTCTTTTCGCGGGTTCAGGAATAACCAGCGGTAATCTATTCCATCCCAGGTCTTTTGTATAGAATTTATAGTTTTGTATATTTATTTATACTTTAAGTTACTATTCGGTATTGATTTCTATGAGCATACTGTCAATATCTGCAGACTCTCCGAGAGTGACGACAAATATATTGCAATTTTGAAACAATATATTTATCCTTTGTTCTGATACTGGAAATATTTCTTGAATATCCAAACACACAGATACGCATATACATATACCCCCCTCTCTGTCTGTCTGTCTGTCTGTCTGTCTGTTTCTCTCTCTCTCTCTCTCTCTCTTTCAGACACACACACACATACATATACATATATATATATATATATATATATATATGTGTGTGTGTGTGTGTGTGTGTGTGTGTAACTTGGAGCTATAATAAATGTGAATTAAGTTTAAGCTTCTAATGATTTTTTTCTTTAAACTTTCAGATTTAACAACTTAAATATTTGGCAATTTCAGCCATGGAAAGATTAATTCATCCATGCTTAGAATATTGCTGCCACATATGGTCCACTGCCGATGCTATTTTTGAGCATTTCCTTGATAATCCAATGAAGAATCAGCAATATTATTAGTCCTGATCTGGCAGCTTGACTTCAGTCACTTGGCCACCGACGTAAGGTTGCCTCTCTGTGTCTTTTCTATAAATACTTTCTCTTCGTTATGGTACCTAGACTTTTTGAAGTTAAACACAGTACTTAATAATACTTATAATTACATAGAACTTCTTTCTTACTTGGCTACTTTTCAGGAATTATTTCCCTGGAAAGGTGTTGTTCGTTTTCTTTTAGCTCCTGCTGAGATAGGATGAAGTTCAATTATAAATTTAAAATTTACCTTTCTTATTTCTTTGCATTGAGTCATGGCAATGATATTATATATATATATATATATATATATATATATATATATATATATATATATATATATGGCAGTTAACCTAAAGTTGTGTAAACCTAAGTTGTGGAAGGACTGCCTCCTAGACAGGAAGAACTGACAGGAAATGATCGCCTATATTTCCTTCCGGATTCATTTCATTTCGAGTCTGAAATGTTTGCGGAGACATTAACATAATACCTGAGAGAGATAGTTGTGTTTGTTAATGAAAATTTCCTTTGTGTATAGATTTGTAAGTGACTGAAGTGTCTTGTGTAGAAGAGTTGAAGCGAGTAAAGGGATGTTTGAGAAAACATCGTGGCATTTCCTGGTGCCTGCATTCCACAAAACAATTTTCAGAAAAATTAATCTGGTATTTATTAATCGTGATATGTGGTGTTCTAACTCATTCAAATTAATAGAAATCGATTGACAGGTGCGTTTTAGTTACGCAATATAAGGAGAGGAATTGAAGCGGATCAAATTAGAAACAAGCTGCAAACGCACACACATAATCTACACGCACACACAAACAGACACACACACAAACACACACACACACACACACATATATATATATATATATATATATATATATATATATATATACAGGGTGACCCAAAAAAGCGGGAATTTTTGAAGTGCGTATTGCCAGACGTGAGCAAGTGGCAACACTGCGAGACAGTGACCTTGAGCAAGTAAACATTTCGCCATTTAGAATTCTAGATGAAATTCACAGTATCCCAGCTGAGATGTTGCAGTAGTCAATGAGGAATCTCAACAGCAGATTTCAAGAATGCATTCGTACAGGAGGACGCCATCTACAGAACGTAATTTTTTAAAAAATGAAAATTCCATCATTGTTTCTTAAATGGCATGTTTTAAGGTTTCAATGACTATGAATAAAATATTTTTCTTTCATCACTTTTGGTTTTATTGGATTGTTAAAAAGTTCCTGTTTTTATGGTCACCTATATATATATATATATATATATATATATATATATATATATATATATATATATATATATATATATACACACAGGGCACAGTGGATACATGTTATTTTCTGTTATAACTCTAGTTTATGTTCGCCTTTTACCTGATATTTGGTAAGCAATATCTCGTAAAGTTGTTTTAGTTGTTTGTGGAAGGAAAATTAAAAACTCATGGTTGAATTCTTTTTTTTTTTTATCAAAGTTCAAAATTACCCTATGCAAAAGTATTGGATACATGACACTTTTTTCAAATTTCCAATCGAAACTTTGTATTTTAAAAGACTTTAAATATTCAAATTTTCGATAGTATTTGAATGTTATCTCTGACCAATCAGAGAAGCACACAATTGTTTGCAAGATAGTGCTACTAATCATCTGACTCTTATAAATATATATATATATATATATATATATATATATATGTGTGTGTGTGTGTGTGTGTGTGTGTGTGTGTGTGTGTGTGTGTGTGTGTGTGTGTGTGTGTGTTTCCAAGAGGATAAAATCCAGGTGGAGATCTGTATACAAAACAGAGCAAGAATATAATATTAAAGACTCAAACACTAAAATTCCACTTTTATAATTTATTACATTGGAATCGTAATCACGATCCAATTCATCAAACGTACAAACAAATATATATATATATATATATATATATATATATATATATATATGTGTGTGTGTGTGTGTGTGTGTGTGTGTATAATAGTAATAATCTTTAAAAATATATATATATATATATATATATATATATATATATAATAGTAATTATACTCGTCCGGAAAACCTTGTGCACTTTGATATGTAAATAAACAGACCGAAACCCAAGATAAAAAAAGGTACAAAAAAAGAAAGAACAGAGAACATATACGTCAGCTGAAGACAATCATCTAGCATCCAAGTTCAGAGTCCACAGAAAAAAAAACGGTATGAGTAAGTAAAATAACTAAGTAAAGTGCTCAATATACTAAACAGAGCCAACCTAATTAAACCTAAAGAGCCAGATAAACCTACCAAGGTTTCCTCTATAACGATCGTCAGGGATTACTGGCTCCAGTATTCCCTGACTATTCGCGTAGGTGAAACCTTGATAGCTTTATCTGGTTCTTTTTACGTTTAATTATATATATATATATATATATATATATATATATATATATATATATATATATATATATATATATATATATATAATTAATAAAATTAAAATATTTGTATCTTTGCTGATTGATGTTTCCTTCAGCAAACCGACTGCAAGGTTTGGTAAAAGAACGCTTTTGGAATCACTCCATCCACTCGTTAGAGGATATTTCAAGTGACTGCTTTTCAGTATTTTCATAGTTTATGCGTGCGTGCATGCGTCGAAAACGAATAAGAAAATGATAGTTGGAGTTATAACTGGAGATATAGAAATTTCACATTGAAAAGTGATTCTGAAAAATAATATATAAATGCACACACACACACACAGACACATCGTATTCGACGTATGAGGGTCAAGCAGCTAAGTCCTAGGAACCGGCAACCAGACACCAGCATATGCACTAAGAGACACGGTGGGGTAGTGAATAGGGACGGATTGAGGAACGGAGAGCCGAGTTCGAATTCCAGTCGAATCCACTTACGTGCTAATACCCTTGGGAAAGGTATTGACCTTTTTTTTTTCTCTGGGTTCTATAGCCTTTGATAGCAACTAGGAGGAGGACAACTCTGAATTCAAAATTTGCGGAGGGTCGTTTGGGGACCTTGTGGTTGGTTTTGCACAAAACCTTCATCACTATAATCAAATCATATGTGCTATTGTCTGAGTTGCTTGACCCTCATACAGAGAGTCAACCATACGTATATATATATATATATATATATATATATATATATATATATATATATATATATTTAGAAACGCATAAAAATATATTGCATATACAAAAATATACACCAACCGGTATATATATATATATATATATATATATATAGTGACACACATAAGTATTGATTACATGTTATTTTCTGTTATAACTCTAGTTTATGTTCGCCATTTTGCCTGATATTTGGTAAGTAATACCTCGTGAAGTTGTTTTAGTCGTGTGTGGAAGGAAAATTAAAAACTCATGGTTGAATCCATTTTTTTTTTAATCAAAGTTCAAAATTACCCTATGCAAAAGTATTGGATACATCAATTTAATATTTTGTTGTGTAGCCTCTGTTTTGTTTCACTGTTTCCAGTCGCTTTCTATAGTTGGCCACAAGTTTTCCACACTGATCCACCGTTACTTTACCCCATTCATCCTTGTATAATTCCTCTAATTGCTTGATATTTTATGTATCCGCTTATGAACTTTAACCTTCAAAATATTCCACAAATTCTCAGTTGGATTCAAGTCAGGAGACTGACTTGGCTAATTCAGAGTACTAATACCATTATTTTCAAACCATTCCTTTGTAAGTTTTCCGGTATGTTTGGGATCATTGTCATGTTGAAGCACGAAATTCCAACCATGTCCTAAAGAAGTTGCAGATTTCTGAAGGTTCTTCTCTAGAATCTCCCTCTACATGCTACCATTCATTCTACCATGGATAACTTGTAACTCACCAGTGCCCTTGGATGAAAAGCATCCCCATATCATAATGGAATTTTCATTTGTGTGATTGTCCCCAACTGTATAGCATATTGCCAAATAAAACGTCTTACAAAATATATAGAAGATTTAGAAACCTTTCCAGAAAGGAAAGCAAAATACTCTCTGACATTCAATAAATGTGGTCATATATGCTTGCCAAGTACCGACAACATACGACATTAATGTAGTCACTCGAGCAAGGATGCGGTATATCAGAAAAGCATACAGCACATATGACTTGTGTAAATACGCGTGTCGAATGACAGGAAAAGTGAATGGTTGGTTTAAACTGCAATCCCCAGAGTAAGTGGTACTCTTAGAGGGTCTTCAATGCAGTACATTGGTACCCTCGATTATCAGTCATCTTCATTACTACCGTTTTTCTTTCTTTATTTATTTTTTTTAATTTAATTTATTTATTTTTTTTTTTTTTTGACAAAAATATGCCTCGGAAATTGTCCATATCCTAGGTTATCGAGCAAAGAAATCCGTCCGAACCTATACATTCCTGTTCGCTTGCTGCTGCGTCACTTTCCCAAGCACAAAAGAGACATAGATATGAAATAATCCCAGAAAAAGACTTACCTGAAGTCTTTATGAAGAGGGATCCTCTTCCAGACAATAAAACCTCTCCACTCTCCCCCCCCCAACTAAAAAACCGTCTTAGGTAAAGTGACGTTAAATATCCATTTACTCTATTCATTTGTCATCTATATACCTGAGGTTCCTATGTACTTGTTACGTAGTGTTTAAGTCATGCGCTCAATTGAGAAGTCACTTCAGAGATAGGGAAATGTATGAAAGCTTATTTATATCTAAGAAGTGGTCATTCTCGGTAATCAGTTCTCAACCACTATATAACTATGCATATATGTAAGTCTACATTGCTCAGTCAAAAGAGCATGACGAGCAATTTGGGCGTAAAAATGACAACTACATACTTATAACAGCGCATGTCAGTATTCATAAGAAAAAAATCACCAACACAACCAGATCAAAACTTATCGATGCCAGATTTGAGCGAAAGCTTTCCCGCCAGATACGAGACGACAGAGCAGCTACTTTTGCATAAATTGCGAAAACGAATGCATTGCAACACACAGGACATCGATCCTTGTTGCATAGCTACAGGTAAATCAGGGTACCCATGTTAATGATGATCATCGAAATTATCTTCAATATCAATCATTTGAAATATTTTCAGTGTCCATCGCCGAAAACATCTTCAATGTCCATCACTGGATACATCTCCAACATCCATCAAGGGATACATGTTCAGCGTCCGTCGCCGGACGCATCGCCAATGTCCATCACGGGAGACATGTTTAGCGTCCGTCGCCGGATGCATCTCCAACGTCCATCACGGGAGACATGTTCAGCGTCCGTCGCCGGATGCATCTCCAACGTCTATCACGGGATACATGTTCAGCGTCCGTCGCCGGACGCATCTCCAACGTCTATCACGGGATACATGTTCAGCGTCCGTTGCCGGACGCATCTCCAACGTCTATCACGGGATACATGTTCAGCGTCCGTCGCCGGACGTTCACGGGAGACGTCCGTCGCCGGACGCATCTCCAATGTCCATCACGGGAGACATGTTCAGCGGCCGTCGCCGGACGCATCTCCAATGTCCATCACGGGAGACATGTTCAGCGTCCGTCGCCGGACGGATCTCCAATGTCCATTGCTGAAAAT